AGTAAAAAAAATAGTCGCTCTTCTCACAGGGGTTACTAGTATCTTATAAGATAATAACCCGCCCCCAACTCAATAAATTAAACACCGGAGCCAAAAATCATTAATATCCATCTTGATTGTTTTAAAAGGAGACGCAATCCCGTTTACATGGCCTCCCGGTCAACCGACGTGAAGCAAGTGTTATAGACAAGCGTATGGTTGCAAGAAAGAAATACGACAACAGCAGAAATAGATTTACGTGATTTATTTCAATAGGAACGTATGGTTTTGGGACAGCTACCTTGTGGTATAGTTAATAGTCCGGCTGAAGATCTGGGTTGATCTCTCATAGTAGTTCTCGCTGGTTGGCGTGGCGCTACTGCTGCTGACCGCTCATCCTGACCGTGACAGCTCTCTTCCCTGGCCTCCTGTTGACTGCTGTTGTACTTCCCGTGTGACCCTTTTTATGGCCTTTTTTATGGCTTAACAGGCTCGAAAAATGATGCGAGTATAATTAGGAGTGAAGCATTTTTATTGGTCGAAAAATAGAAACATTTTAAAATATTTTATTTTCGACCGGAACTCGGGGCCTTGTCCCGTTCACATCCGGCTCTCGCTCTTAAGTATGTTAGTTTATTTGCCTGCAAATCAGCCGAGATATGTCTTATTTTATTTTATAACACAAGCTTCAATAGGAGGCCAGTACAGAACCAACTCGCCGATCTTCGATATCAGACTCTGTCGCCAATAACATCGCTTCCCCTCGTCGACAAGAGGCATTCTAATCTCATCCAAGGTATACATGGTAATACAGATTCTTTTATTTTAACATACCTTATCTCCTTTTCTTGCCGTCAATACATTGTTATTTTCGTTTGTTACTCGCAACCATACACAGTGTATGACGAGAGTTATACGTGATACTTGGGCGATCATGTTACTTGTAATTCTGATCAGACAGAAATTTTTTCCGCAGTAGTCTGTCATTTCTTTCTGTAGTAGACTGGTTGCCAACCAAGGCTACAGGTTTCAATCTGACCTACTATAGCTGGTGAGAAAACAGATGAATGAGAATCCTATCAGCACATAAGATTTGATTGTAGTGGTGAAGGCTTTTGTGGAATCAACCACACTTTTCGGAAGAACTGAATTAGGTCACATATTGTGCAAAGAGGTCCCCAAACAGCCTTCCTCAGGCTTTGAATTCAGAGTTGTTCTCCACCTAGAGTGGTTACCAACCACGGCTAATGAACCCATTCTGTCCTAAGACAGTAGAATCCCTTATATCGGGAATCCCTCATATCCGGAATCTCCCATATCCGGAGTGACTCATATACAGAATCCCTCATATCGGGAATCCCTCATATCCGGAATCTCCCATATACGGAGTGACTCATATACAGAATCCCTCATATCGGGAATCCATCATATCCGGAATCTCCCATATCCGGAGTGACTCATATACAGAATCCCTCATATCCAGAGTGACTCATATCCGGAATCTCCCATATCCGGAGTGAGTTATAAACAGAATCCCTCATATCGGGAATCCCTCATATCCGGAATCTCCCATATCCAGAGTGACTCATATCCGGAATCCCGCGTATCCGGACAATGATTTTGATGTGTATATTTGAACTATTTGGGTGATATGTAACTGATTTGAAATTTCTGTTTTTCAGGAAATTTACTTTGGATAATTGCTTATTTCCCCCTAATGGTGCAAAAGATGATGGGAATAAGAGGAAAGGATGACAACGAGACACATCTGCAACAAAATAGCGACGAGATGCATGATTGTGATTGAACCTGAACTGAAACTGAAAAAGCTATTGAAAAGGTTGTCAGTTTTATGGAAAGAAAGCCAGCATTCAGCTATAACAATTGCAATAACGCACGCAGAGTTAAAAAGTGTCTTTCGTTTCAAAAATTTCAAGAACTGCAAAATGAAATGCGGAGAAATTTGGGAATGACATTAGAAGTGAAAGAATTATCATTCAACAGCGATTAAAAAATCCTCGTTACATAATTTGTTTTGCATACGTGACATACTTAATCTAATGAATTTTCATTAACATTACATAATTTCTTTCTTTTTCCTAAAAATCAATTCCGTTATATTTCACTCACCATTAGCTTATTTTGTTTACTATAAAACTTTGAAAATAAATGTTAAACCTGATTTCAGTTCTTTTATTTTAATCTAAATATAACCCCTCATATCCGGACTTTGTAACCAATTCCTCATATCCGGACTTTGTAACCAATTCCTCATATCTGGACTTTGTAACCAATTCCTCATATCCGGACTGTGTAACCAATTCTTCATATCCGGAAGGCCTTCTTAGTCTGGTTGTCAGGGATTCTACTGCATTTGCCTGTCTTTCATATCAATATTTAATACCGTACTTTTGTCTTGAATCTAGAACCAACTTTCAGGCAAGTGACGTAGTTTCCATCTCCATTTAAATTTAAACAGAACGATCGGGCGTTTGGGAGATTACTTTTCTTCAAAATACATCGTTTACAATTAACGTTTCCCGAAATCATTTTTGCTATTTTTCTTCTTAATTTTTTGAAGAGTTTAACAAAAGTCCTTCTGAGAACATTTGTCAAATCTTGAGAGTGTAATGCTCGCTGTATTTCCTTAGAGAATAGATCGATTCACACCTTTTCCCAAGGGTAATTACGTGTAAGTTAATGCAAGGAACCTGATTGGATTTCGAACTCGGCTCTCGGATTTCTCATCCATTACATCATACCACTCATCCTATAACATACAGAAGAAAAAATTATAAATTATTTGACAAAAGACAGCCAAATAAACTAACCGAAGCCCTTACAGAATTTGTTCTTTTAGAATTCACTTTTACATCATCTCATCTTGATCAACATTTTTTACCAATTTAATCTTTATTCTTTTAGCGATTAATTCAGTTCCATGTTTCTCTTGAGGAATGTTTTCCAGGAATTTCCTTTATTAGCAACAACAGTGCAAGTGACAGCTTCCCAAGTTATCAAATTCTTTATTTCTTTCAGACTTGTCAACATAAATAATTTGATAAAATTATAAACACGTCGAAAGAAAAGAAAAGAAAGAAAGAAATTCAAACAAAAACAAAATCGTCGCTTTCATTTCGACGCCAGCCCGCTGATCATTTCTACTTCCCAGACGGTCAAAACTAATTCATAAACTTCCGGTTCTAAAAGCGGCTTCTCTAAGGAAATACAGCAAGCATTACGCTCTCAAGTTTTGACAAATGCTCTCAGAAGGACTTTTGTTAAACACTTCAAAAAATTAAGAAGAAAAATAGCAAAAATGATTTCGGGAAACGTTAATTGTAAACGATGTATTTTGAAGAAAAGTAATCTCCCAAACGCCCGATCGTTCTGTTTAAATTTAAATGGAGATGGAAACTACGTCACTTGTATGAAAGTTGCTTTTGGACTCACGACAAAAGTAAGGTTTTAAATATTGATATGAAAGACAGGCAGACACACGCCAACTAATAAAATCCTACTGATTTGTTAATGAAATACACTTCTGAAATATGAAATGCACGCCTGGTTGTCTCAAAGAATTCATGCAATATGTCATATTTTTCTACAATTTTTACAGGCAGAAGTTTGGTTTACGATGGGTTCCCATATTAGCGGCTTTTTTGGTTTGTCTATTTTTAGAATTTCTATATAGTGGTCCTTCCAAATATATGTTACCGCAAAATTCATTTTATTTAAACACATACACCCTTGTGCAAATTAATTGAAACAAAACGAATATTTCTGTTATTATTTACATTTTCGTAATTTTCCAATGAATCCAGTGCACATGTTAGTACTTTGTATGTCCATTCCATGAAATCGTTCCTTGCAGATTCACCGCAGATTCTCAATTGGATTTAAATCAGGAGAGTTTCCGAGCCAGTCGATAGTACTTTCATTTGCTCATTGGTAAGGCTTGCCAGTGTGTTCGTGCAGTGTTACAATTTTCATACGCTTCCTTGAAGTAACTTCCATCGCAGACAATGATCGTAGGACAACTCATCGACAGTGAAGACAATAGTGTCTGGGCGTGATAAAAATCTGATGCAATCAAGGATGAGGCAATATTTTTCAAGGCCAAACAAATTTCATCATACACCCCGAAAATAAATTCATATTACTGCAGACCCCTACAAATGACTTAATCTGAGAAAAAAATTAGAAACCGACTACACACTGTCACTCTAAGGGGTCTAAAACTGACCGTATAGTGAAAGAAAGGAAACTAAATCGGTTCTTTCAATTAATTTGCACAAGGGTGTACATATAACTCTAATAATATATCCACATGACTCATTTTTGCCCAATCTAGTAAACAAAGTTAATGGCGTTAAACATAAAATAGATTTTGCTTTTGAATCTGAAACTAACAATATTTTATCTTCCTTAGATGTCTAGTCCTGGGTATGACGATAAACTGCACCCGGCAGCAAGGTCTCTGATTGGGAGATTGGAGGTTTTTAGGAGCGTGGAACCACCTCTTAATTACTGTTGTTTCCAGGCCAAACATGGCCTGGGGTCGCAGCAGCTGTTAGGGCCCCAACTATGGGTAAATATTTAATCATATAAATATATAAATAAAACACTATAAAAGTATGAAAATACCAGCAATTTTTATATAAAAAATTACCAACAATACATTTTTATAGTAAAATTACTAACACTACGATCAGACTAAGAAATTGTAGCGACTTCAATCCAATCCGTTTAAAATACTAACATACAACTAACAATAAAAATTTTTCATGATATTAAGCCGTATAATATCCGACAATTTCTTTAATCAAACGGTATTACAAAATATAACTTGAAAACTACAACATAAAACACACGTATCATCACCGCTAGTACTGTCCACCAATTTGCTGCACGAAAGCTGAGTATCATCTACCATGTATTCAATTGCGAAAGGAAAATAACATTTTTATTACATCCAAGCTCCCAAGAAAAATAAAATTCGGCATTAAATGACCCATAAGGAGTTGATATCTATCTATCTATCTATCTATCTATCTATCTATCTATCTATCTATCTATCTATTTTTTAAAAGAGAGAGAGAGAGAGAGAGAGAGAGAGAGAGAGAGAGAGAGAGAAAGAGATCGAAAACTATCCATCTATCTCAATCTGTTCATCTCTCTCTCTCTATCTATTCTGAGTCTATATCTATCTATATCTATCTATATATATATATATATATATATATATATATATATATATATCAGTCTATTTCTATCTATCTATCTATTTAAGTCTATCACTATCTATTTTTTAAAAGAGAGAGAGAGAGAGAGAGAGAGAGAGAGAGTGAGATCGAAAACTATCCAACTCAATCTGTACACATCTATCTATCTATCTATCTATCTATCTATCTATCTATTAAAAGAGAGAGAGAGAAAAAGATAGAAAACCAGCATCTATCTCAGTCTGTTCATATCTATCTATCTATCTATCTATCTATCTATCTATCTATCTCTATCTCCAGCTGTTCGGAAAGATATCCTTATATTCATATGATAAATATCTCATGTTTATTTGAACGGATAATATCGTGTTTTATTTTTAAAAAAGAAAAAAAAGTAATGTTTTTGGAAATTTATTTTCGAGCCGAGAACTTTTCAGCACGAACTAATACTTTAATTTTCCATCTTTGCAAGGACACGAGGAAACCGTACAACATATTCACTGCCTTATATGGAGGTTTGATAGTGCATAGCAGTACAGCGCACTTTCCATTGTTTTCTAACTAAATTTTCCTGTCTCTTAATACTTTGCTTAGCTTTTGGAAATTATTTTTTGCTATTTCTATTGGCCTTCAGATTTCTGTGTAACATGTTTCGTTGACACATAACAGTTTCTGTCCTTACACGATTCTGCTGTCTCTTTGTGGACCATCTGGAATCCTATCTTCTTACAATTGAAGCCTACTCCTTTCTTTTCGCTTTCCTCTACTAGTTTGCCGAGTTCTTAAAATTTTCTTTTTGCCTCTGTCATCAAGACGGTGAGTTATACGTAAATTACGTGCCCAGGTTATGTGCTTTGTTTTCATTTGACCAAGTGTAAAGAAGACATTTCCTTTTTTATCACGATAATTTTTTTGTTTGGTCAAACCAAAATAATAATTATAGTATTCGAGAAAATCAGCATTTGAACACTTAAATATATAAGCCAGCAAAATATATAAATATACAGTGTAACCCGGATATAAGAGAGTTGTCGGAACCGGAGAAGAAGTCTCTTATATCCGGGTTTCTCTTATATCCGGTCTCTCTTATATCCGGGTCTCTTATATCCGGGTTACACTGTATATGAATACATTTGGATTTTACTATTTAATGGATTTTGACGTGTGTTGTGTTACCATAGGTAGAATGTATTAAGTAAATACGCAAAAATTGTCTTCAGTTATTTGAATTTCTTATATGGTGCATTGCAATTATTATTTTTTAACTCGTCTTTCTTTCATCTTATTTCTCTTGCTTGTTTTCAACTGGTAGCAACAAGATGTAATAGTCTGAAGTTGTCTGAATATATTTGATGAAGCATTGCAATTATTATTAATTTTTGACTCGTCTTTCTTTCATCTTATTTCTCTTGCTTGTTTACACCTCATAGTAATAAGACGTAATAGTCTGAAGTCGTTTGAATTTCCAAGATGGAGGATTGCAATTATTATTAATTTTTGACTCCTATTTCTTTCATTACTGATCTCTTGCTTGTTTACACCTCGTAGTATTACGACGTAATAGTCTGAAGTCGTTTGAATTTCCAAGATGGCGCATTGCCGTTATTATTAATTTTTGACTTTTCTTTCTTTCATTTTATTTCTCTTGATTGTTTACACTAAATAATAATGCGCTGTTTGAGTTTCTTCAATGAATCTTTGTTATCATCAATACGTGAAAACTCTTATACATTCTCATAAGCTTAAAGTGGTTCTTCCAATCTAAGTGGATATTTCCGTGAAAAATGGCGCCGAACAGCTTAGTGCTTTTCCAGAAACTATTCTGTATTATGAATTATATAATATTTCTAAACAAAAACAAAGTTTCCTTTCGTGTTTTCTAGAATTATCTTGTTTTTGTTAATTAATTTTCGTCTATAGAAAATATCTTAAACACAGATACATTATGTCTTGAATAGCGGGTTTTAATAGATTTTATACTTTGTTCTTGGTACCTCCATAAAAACGCGACGCCTTAGGTTTGAAAAAACTTTTTAGAAATGAAAAGTTTTTCTTAAAGTTTTTATCTTAGTTTTAATTTCAAGCTAATAGATTAAATTCAATACCACTGTATTTCAAAACTAATTTAAATTGATTGGAAGAAATGTTTCTTTTGAATCTGTCATCAGATGTTTATTAAAAAAATATTTCAAAAATAAAATATACCTTTCTGAAAGATTTTTTTGAGAAATATTAGCTGATTTAAAGTTTAATTAATCTGATTTGAAACAAATATTACTTATTTTAAGTTTAAAATATCACAGAAATTCATTTTTTTTAACAAGGTGGTAGTTGGTTATTTACAGTGTTGACATCTTGACTGACAGATGGAAGTTTATCTAATTTTTTGACGGTGGGAATATTTGTAAAAATTACTTGAGTAATTACTTAATTAACGTGAGCGCCTTTTTAATATAATTTTAAACCATCCAGTAATATTAAAAACTTAGGAAAATATTGTCTGTAATCTAATGTTTTATTGAATTTTAGGTACTTTGGTTTTAAATTTACTAGAGTTTTCGCTCTTATTTTCAGATAATGTCGTGTATGGACATCCATATTTACAAAAATTAGCGCATTGATGCAAACACAAAAAATTCCAAATTTATTTTAAATATTGGGGTTCGCTGAATTGTAGTATGTTTTTTCATTTATGGTTAGTAAATAACAATATCATCCAATTGGTACAAATTAATTTTTTTTTTTAAGCGTTTCACCCCAAGCAAGGCGGGAAGCCACTAGGACGCAAGGGGTTACAGAAAATTTGGAGCAAGATCAGATAGGAGTGATGGAAGAAAGGATGAGAAGAAGGGCAGTGGATAGATCAAGGCAACTGGAGATGTCGATTGACATTACATTTGAATAGCTGGAGATTATAGCTCCCAGGGAAACTGGAATAGGGAAGAGAGTTACACAGGTGAGAGGTGCGAGACATGAAGCTATTGGAGTAGAAGAGACGGCTACCTTTAGGTGTTTCGACAGTGAAGGGGTGAGAGCGGGATGACAGCCTCGTAGGGCGCTTGAACTCATGAAGTCTGGGAACCAGCGAATGCAGCTCCTCGGAGCAATTGCCATGAAAATATTTGTAAAACAGACAGAGAGAGTCGACGGCGCGTCTGTGAGAAAGTGACTGTAGACGAGATGCCAGATCAGGGCCAATTATATTGCATATCCGCCTCTGGAGCCTATCAAGAACCCCGAGTCAAACAGAAGGGGCTCCAGACCATATATGGCAGCAATACTCCATGCAAGGGCGAATTGTTGATTTGTAGATCTGGAGGATCGATTCCGGGGAGAAAAATTCCTGGCGCGGCATAGGGAGCCAACTTTCCTTGCGGTGGACGAAGCAATTGACTCAATATATTCTTTCCATCTCAAGTCAGCGAACAATGTGAGACCGAGCAATCGCAAAGAGGTGCTCTCGTGGAGTTGAGCGTCAGACATTCTAATGAGAGGCAGGAATGGTTCTCTTAGACTCGATGAATTACTTAATTATAAATATATATATATATATACAGTGTAACCCGGATATAAGAGACCCGGATATAAGAGAAACCCGGATATAAGATACTTCTTCTCCGGTCCCGACAACTCTCTTATATCCGGGTTACACTGTACATTTAAAATTTTTTTAATTTTTAAAAAAATCCTTAATAATGGCTAAAAGAATAGCCGAAAGTGCTTGGACATACAAAAAATTCGAACAATGTGTGAATATCTCTCTTCTGCTTCCAGCTATGAGTTAATTAGTAAGACTAATGTGGTCTAAATTATTATTATCTCCGGAAAAATTATTACGGTCTGAAAATATTTTCTCTCTTTAAATAACCCGCAAAAGTTTTAAAATCCGTAAAAAACAAATCAATTAAAAAATGAGAGTGCGTCCTATACACCAGTAGATAGTAAATATATTTTTTTTAATATACGGAATTTTTTTAATGTTTTTGAGCTGTAAAGGTCCTTTTATGGACATCGGCCTTCTCAGGTTCATGTCGGTGTGAGATAGAGCATCACACTATCGTGCTTTTCTCAATGAGTATCACCAGGGGCGGTTGGTATAGATGGGCGAAAAGGTCACATTTCGGGTCATGTAAACCCAAGGGTATTTGCGTAAATGTAATGAACCTGACAGGAATTCGAACGCGGCTCTCCAATTCCTCATCCAGAGCCGTTAGCCATTACACAACAAACACATCCAAGCTTACAGCGACTGGTATTCCCAAGAGGCCAACTATTTAGGTATTTACCAAATTCAAGGTTGCTTAATTTCGGTGGTCAGACGAATACAGGTGTTTCAACGTGATATGGCCGTATTGTGTCCTTTAGCACTTTTTGGAAAAACCATGAATTTACTTCTCCCTGTTTTTCTGCCATTTCCTGATATCGTGACAAGACATAATTGCTTGATGATTCACAGGGAATATAATGGGTCAATGAACGCTTTGATGAAATTTCCCTCCGTCCAAAAAATACTACTGGTGAACGTAAAAAAAAAAGCCAAAAATGCACTCCCCCGCGAAAAAAACAAACAATGACAAAGCTGTTTGATTCATTATCATCCTTGACGGGATTGGCAGAGTGCAATCATATATGTTATGCATCGTGGTTATCGCGACCCTTTGACAGACTTGTTTAAGAAGCGTAGTAAACGCCAACGCAAAATAAGTCTACGATGTGTGTACGAGTGACAGTGATTAATAGCCGGTGAAAAGAAGAAGACATTTTAATAAAAATCAAGGCGAACACATCGGCTCAGTCGGTCTTTTCATTGAGTTGTGTCTCGCCGCTTGAATATTACGCGTTTCAAAAGAACGTCACAAGTTTTACTGACATCACAGACTCGCTGTCTAGGCCCTGGTAGCTAACTAGGGACACACAATGTATTTATACGATCATAAATAATGTTCATTTTTCCGTCTCCACTTTTCAGCCAATAGACTATAGGCCAACTCAAACACCTAAGCATCTTCAGTCAAAATATATACAACTGAATTAAATAATGTCTTAGTTCTATTGAGTTTCGTATTTTAATTTCAGAGCTAAAGTTTGAGTTGTGAGTAAAAAATTTTGAAAATATTATGATGAATTGTACAGTGTAACCCGGATATAAGAGAGTTGTCGGGACCGGAGAAGAAGTCTCTTATATCCGGGTTTCCCTTATATCCGGGTTTGGTCTATTATATATACATTAACACAGGCTCTAATTTGGGACCAGAGACAATCTCTCTTATATCCGGGTTTCTCTTATATCCGGGTCTATTATATCCGGGTTACGCTGTATTCTTCAAAGCCTTCTTCATTTAATTAAAAAATTACAGAATTACACAGTTACTAGTTTTAAAGTTTTCATAAAATTGAATAAGGTAGGTAACATGTAAAAATATTTTTACCAGGAATTTCTAAAAAGAAAACATTTCTAAAATTTTGAATAAGTTCTGAAAGTTTCATTAAATTCCGACAATTATTTGATTTTTGCAATAATTTCCACATTAATGTGCTTTCAACTGAAAAAGGCGTTAAAAAACAAATTAATGCTAAACAATTACATGACCTCTGCCTTATAAAAAAACCCCCAAAAACTAGATTTTCAACCAAAATTTCGAACGTGCTAAAAAGGAATAAAAAATTTTTTAAAATTAATTTAAAAATACTTTGGTTTCTCTAAATGACGTAAACTTTTTCGCGATAAAACTGTTTTTAAAATTTAGGATCTTTTTCATCATGCCATTTT